ATCACCACCAACTCTTCCGCACCTTCATCTTCCATGGCTAATCACCGAGACTACGCAAACTCGGGTTCGGGAGGTCCTAACATGAGGTGGAGCCAAGGAGCTGCCTCAGACGGCAGCTGGTCATACAATTGGGGGGCTGGTTCGGTCCCGGATGGCCCTAGCTTTGGTTTTGGGTCAGGCTCGGCGACATCACAATCAGATGGTGGCAGCGGTAGTGGGTTTGGGTTTGGGTACGGTTGGGGTGCTGGAGCAGCAGGTCCAGGTCCAGGTCGTCCAAGGCAAAACCAAAATGAAGGGTTTGGTGAATTTGGTCAATCACATATGCCACCCTTTGGGGCTAGGTTCTACTATGGTATGCCATTTACAAACTTTTATGGGGGGCCGATGTTCGGACCACCTAGACCGCAACATGGCACTCATCATAGTGGACGTGCTAGACAAAGAGGTGGCGCTGATCCTAGCTAACTAGTTGTAGTAGTTCTGCTACAAGACACTGTTATCAACATTTAGCGAATGTAGATAATGCTTAGCTTACTTGTTCATCTATACATTAATAAGGATGATGTATTACTATTTTATTAGTATTGCCTAGTATGTAATTCCTATCCTAGTTACAACACACAATAATCCCACTCCTTCGCATGAACGATTAATATGCGTATATGGTCACAGACAACACCTTTTTATGACTTTGGAGAGCATCGTACATCGTGATTGGAATTTCAATACCAAGTCTCAAAAATCTCTAAAAAAATAGTTTAATTTTGTGTATTATAACCTTTAATTTTAGAGAATTTTAAAACTTTTTTGGATAAGAAAATAAAGCGATCAAGATACATCTCATGAACGTGATGAGACCCAAGGAAACCATTTGGATGCTTAGAATTTTCCAATATGTCTATTAATTTTTATCAACCCGATCCGTTAAGAACATGTCTTTTAACATTGATCAAGGTCATCTTGGGCCTTTACGTGATCGAGTAATTAGTGTAAAGGATTCCAAATAACCTTTTATGACCAAACAACCTCATCATTACTAGAGTTTTCAATATTAGGTTTTGAAATTTTTTAAGATAATTAGATGTTTATTATGGCCTTCAAATACAAAAAAATTACCACGCATTTATAGTAGCAAAAAAGATAGAGATTGACGTGTTTTTAATGGATCTCTCAAGACTATACTGTTGTCTGGTAAGCCACTAGATCAGTTGGGTCCATTTATTTTGTCTTTAAAATATCAAGTTATCCAAATCTGAATACGTCTCATTGCCATTGACTCAAGAACATCTCGAACCTTTATGCGACCTATTTAATATAATTTGCGTGATTGAGTACTGAGCGTACATTGACATGAGTTGACCATTGTAAGTAAAGGTAATGATAGATGTTATTAGAATGGGTTCTAGACGATCAAATTCATGTCAATCAATTTATTTACTCCGTATATTATTTATAATTGAACTAGCTCTATCAATGATCATAAATAAATAAATTATATTGTGTTAATCATGAACCTAGTTTCAAACTTACAATTAATATGAAGTCAATTATAATTTAATCAACTTTGTTGTGTTTTGTGTAGAGTATTGAGAAGGAAAAACCGAAAAACCCTAGACAAGAAGTATTACTACAAATTTAATTCACCTCCCGGAGTCCCGGTGCCGGCCTCCCTGAAATGCAACTGATTTCTTCTCTCTCTTCGCCGCCGCCATTGAAGCACTGCCATCAAGGTCAGCTTTTCTCCTCCCCCCTGCTCTCTTTCTCTCTGTAATTTCACAATACTATGAGAAATTGGAACTTAAATGTAATTTAATTTTAGGTATTAGCAGCATGTCAGGACTGTCACTTGGAGAAAAGAACTTCATAAGAGGCGGTATTGCTCAGGATCTTCGTTGTGATGGTCGAAAACGCTTATCTTACAGACCTATTCATGTTGATACTGGGGTCATTCCACAGGTCTTACTTCTTATGTCCAAACTTTGATTTTTTGGTTTTCTTCTACTTGAGTGTAATTAATGATCCTTCAAACTTGGAAATTGAGATTACTGTTTTTGTTAATTATAGGCAAATGGTTCAGCAAGAATTCGAATTGGGGGAACTGATGTCATTGCTAGTGTCAAGGTTAAATTCTTAACATTGTTTTGGAAACCCTCTTTTGTGATGAATTGAGTTTTCATCAACTTACTTTTGGTTGTAATGTGTGTGTTTGATCAAGTGCAGGCTGAATTAGGGAGACCCAATTCGTCTCAACCCGATAAAGGAAAGGTTTCCATACATATTGATTGTAGTGCTACAGCTGCACCTATCTTCCAGGTCTTCTTTTTCTTTCTATTGTTTTATCTCTTAATTGATTGTCTATTAATTCCCTTTATCACCCTATAAAGGAGTAAGTATATGACTTTGAGATGTTCAAGGGATAGTAAGTCATTTTCTTGTACTAGTGGCGGTATTTTATAATTTGTTAATCTTGGTCATATTGAACGATGGAGAATGAAATAGGTTTACACAAGTATTATGTAGCAAAATCAAGTTGAATCTTAGATTGTAAAGGAGTTGGACACTTGGACAGGCTGTTGTTTCTGCAAAGATTAAGTATTCATTCCCTATAATTTATTCTTGAATTCTGTATGTCATGTTAGATTAGGAAGTAGTCTTTCATTCCAACCTCCTGTGATTTTGTATAGATTGTTGAATGCCGTATCTCAAATGTTTTGGTGTCTTTTTCCTGTGGTTTTGTTTTGTTGGTTGGCATCATTTGAACTACAATTTTTTATTTTATTTTTTTCAAAAAGAAGAGTAAGAATGTAAGCTATGCATCCAAATGGCTTTTCGTAGTCTAAAATTCAGTTGCTGACAAGTGACAACATATAAGTTATATAATGTTTGAACTCCATCTTTTGATAATTTTGTTACCCTGTATACTAGGACAAGTGAATATACATGTTGCTTATTGTTATGACCAGTGATCATGTTTATATTAATTAATTACTGTACATGTCTTGTGTCACAGGGCAAAGGGGGTGAAGCATTATCAACAGAACTTGCCGCTGATCTTCAGCGTTGCCTCTTGGGTGGTAAAAGTGGAGCAGGTAGGAAATTTTGGTTAAGCTTAAGCATATGTAAACTTGGTGTGTTTTATTAAGGTGAAAGAGCTGTGGATAATGTGTGATACACTTTATTTTAGGAGCTGGAATTGACCTTTCATCCCTGTCTATCGTGGAAGGGAAGGTATGTTGGGATCTTTACATTGATGGCCTTGTGGTTAGTTCAGATGGGAATATGCTGGATGCCTTAGGTGCTGCAATCAAGGTATTATGTACTTTTTTTTTTTTTTTTTTTTTTTGGGTGCCGCTGCCAACCTTTTTTCTAATATGTTCATTAAATTAGCTTGGTCTGTTATCATATTACCCTATGCCCTCTGAGATCCGTGTCAGTCAAAACTTTGAGAGCTTGTTTCATTTTTTGTTAAATTCAAATCATACAGGAGAGTTGAGGAAGGATACCTCATCCTACATTAAGGTGAAGAGAATTTACTCTTCTACTCTCAAAGTCTCAATTCCCCTTTTGTAGTCCAGTTACTGCTGTACAGCTTTCAACTTTGTTTGATGGATATACTGTACTTACATAAGGTCAGGTCAAGCCAACCCTTTTAATGGAGCTATATGTCCTTGAGGTTTTCAGAAGCTTTGCATCTTAACTTCTATGAAAAGAGGATGCTAGGCGTTGAAATAAAGAATCATTTTTATGAATATAAGTGAGTGGCACATGTTCCAGAATGTACTCACAATTTCCGTGGACATCTGTGTTGCTGCTATAGTTGTGACATTGGCGCTGGCATTCTTCTTTAAGCACTACAATTATACTTGATGGTCTAGAGTTCATGTGTTGCTGATGTCACTTTATTACAGGCTGCTTTAAGTGACACCGGCATTCCAAAAGTTAATGTCATTGCTGCTGATTCGACATCTGCTGGTGATCAACCTGAAGTTGATGTTAGTGATGAAGAATTTTTACAGTTTGATACTTCTGCAGTCCCTGTCATAGTAACATTAACCAAGGTTACACAACTTTCATCATGACATTCTTCTATAAAGCATAAATTTATTTCACCCATCTTCTCTTCAACATTTAATCAAGTTTGATGCTCTTTTGTAACAATTCTATGCATCATGCAGGTAGGAAAACACTACATAGTTGATGCAACAGAAGAGGAGGAATCTCAAATGAGTTCCGCAATGTCCGTCTCTATCAATAGAAAGGGACTTATATGTGGTCTTACCAAGCGTGGGGGTGCAGGTGTAGATCCAAGCATAGTCCTTGATATGATCTCAGTAGCAAAATATGTGAGCGAGAATTTTATAAACAAATTAGACTCCGAGATAGCTGCTGCAGAAGCTCGTGAGGAAGAATCATGAAGATTTGTTTTACATTTTATAACTAAGCTCCAATGTTTTTGCAGAGTATTGAATTTTGACCTAGGAAATTATGTTTCATACAGGTAGATTGTTTGTAACTTTGTTAGTGTCATAATATAGTTAAAAAAAAAATATAGTTAATGTTACAATTATTATTGATGGCTAACATTTTATCCCAGTATCATAGATCTCGTTAAACAATGCTTAGTATGAGATTAATTTAAATGCCTGAAACCGCTTCTTCAAGTGCTCTCCAAATGATCAGATTATGCAGCAGTACATCATGTCATTTCCGATAATGGTATCCTTTGTATGATTATTACTCCGTATTAATTGTGCATCTTTACATTAAAGGATTATATGCTTGGCTATCACATATGACAGATTGTACCTGCATTAAACACTCGTACAATCGTATTTCTTACAGACGTTACAGTATATCTTAAATAAAATTACAAAGTATTTAAAATTAAAATCGAAATACTTGGGCCAATGTTTGATGTAAGAAAAGGGTTGAACTGTTCAAATAAGCTTGGGCTAGGCCTAAAAACCTTACTAACAAAGCACACAAAGACACAATCTTTAGCTTTACCTCTCTCCTCCAAAAGTCACAAATAGATAAGGAAGTCGGGAGGATAACCATTTTTCAACTTCATCTTCTTCCTCTCACTCTCTCTCAAAAATGGCGCAGACTCTGGCGACGCCAGTAGCACCATCAGTGTCTCTAATATGCAACACTAAGCCTTCGATTTCTCTCTCCTCATCTTCTCTCTCTTTCCGCTCCATAAACCCTTCCAAGGTACCAACTTTCTGCTTATTCTTGTTGTTATTTTTGCTGCTAATATATATTCAATCAGACTAACTGATGAATGATTTTGAATGTAGTATGTTGGTGGGTTAAGCATAAAATGTGTTCGTGTTGGTAATGTTGAAATCCCAAACAACAAAAGGGTGGAATACTCTCTTCAGTATATCCATGGAATTGGGCGTTCTAGGGCTAAGCAAATTCTTTCTGATTTGAGTTTGCAGAACAAACTCACTAAAGAATTATCTGATGATGAACTTATCCAGGTCAGAGATGAAGTCTCCAAGTACATGATCGAGGGCGACCTGGTATTTCTCTTATTTTTGTTAAATTTCTACTGATTTTAATTTATGTGACTGCTGAATTTTGTAATTCAAGTAATTTTTGACTTTGGGTTGCTGGTTTAGTTACAATTATAATCTGGGCTTTTAGTTGTTTGAAGAAATTAGAAGTTATACTGTTGATGGAATATGTTCATTCTTGATTGAGGATAAAATTGTTCAAATTTTTTGGGATGTTTTGATAATTTAACTTGGATACATGTTAGATTGAGTACTATTTTTCAATGTAATAGGTTGTGAAAATTGATAGAATTTTTCAATGTAATAGGTTGTGAAATTGATAGAATTAGTGATGTATTGTTCTTGATTGGAATTTGGGAATGTATTTGTGTATGCAGAGGCGATTCAATGCTATAGCAATTAGGCGATTGAAGGAGATACAATGCTACAGAGGGATAAGGCACATTCAGAGTTTACCTTGCCGCGGACAACGAACCAAGAACAACTGCAGGACTTTGAAGAGGGGAAAAAGAGTTCAAATTGCTGGCAAGAAGAAGCCCCCTGGTCCTAAATAGTTGAACTGGTTTGCCTCTTTTCTCTTCCTGTAATGTAATTGGTTGCAATATGGGCATTCGGCTTTTCTAATTGTAGTTGCTCAGAATGCATTGCTTGTAATTTTGTAATTTTGATTAATATCTCCAGCAGTTATTGCTTCAAAGTTTAAATTTCCTTATTTGCTTATTTCTCATGCTCCTTCACATGTTTTGCATATGTTTAATGCTCATTCCTTACAAATATATGTCCTGTTAGTCCTTTTCGTATGTCTGTGTCATTTAATCCATACACCTCAGGAAGCTGTACCCTCTTTCTTAGTTAGTTCAGAAAGCCAGAAATGGTTTACCCCCTCTTGACTCCAATAGTTGATGGCAACTTAGAAAGTTTAAGGGCTATATACGCTGAATATTAAACTCTTAACACCTTACACTTTAGTGAGGAATAGTAAGTTGATGTTCTAGAAAGGTTAGCATAACTTTTTCACCAGCATGTATTTTTACTCTACCTGACCAGATTTGAGACAACCTTTCTCTTAGATGAGCTACAATAGCTTGAATACAAAATGTCATAAATTTTACCCTTAAGCACAAACTTTTCTTCAAGTTTTAATCCATACATTATCGTGCTGTTGTGCATATTTCCATTTCATAAAACAATTTTGCTGAAATATGTGCTGCAGCTCCCATTATTCGATCACTCCTTTCTACTCTCCTTTGCCTAGCAATCTAGAATACATTCTTGAACTACTATCTTCACTAGTGTATACTATGACATTGTTTGGACCCATATACGAGATGCATCCCGAGGTCATATGATATTGTTTGGACCCATATACAACCATAAGTCGGCTACATAAAGGTCCCATGGAAGCCTATAGTCAATATAAGAGGCGTGTACGGAAACTGATAGATTAGATGCTTAAAGGCAAATTAGATGGTTCCACCCACCCAATTAGACTCCCGGAGGGTATTAGGGTTTATAGGTAGCTTCTCGGCAATTTTTGTTTCAGGGACTAAAAAAGTAAAAAATTGGAAAAATTGAAAGTTATAATACACGCTTTTTGGCCAATTTCAGAGGTTTCGGGACCTAGTGTCGAAAAGTCTCGAGATACCAGGGGATACATCATAGGGTCATATAATGTCGTTTGGAACCATATATGATCATTATATGTTGCCATAAATGTCCTTGTTAGCCTCGAGTTTATGAAATCGGTGCAAGTTGTAAACGCGTAAATTGACAGTTTGAAGGTATATTGGATGGGTTTACCCAAAAAAAGGACTCTCGGGGTATATTAGGGTCCATGAGAAGCATCTCGACAAATTTTGTTTCCGGATCCAAAAAAGTGAAAGATTGTCCAAAATTGAAGGGTATAATACACGATTTCGGACCATTTTTTGACATTTTTTTCAAAAACTAAACTAAATATGTGGGGTGAATTCTGGGGTCATATAAGGTGGTTTGAAACAATAACACACCTATAGAAATGTCTATGAAGTACCAAGAATGAGTTATGTTTTTATTTTCAAATTTTGGAATATAATGATATCACAAAAATACCCTTGTCGGACCCTCGACACTCAAACATGTTTGCGTGGGTTAAAGCCATTTTGGCGTAGGTGTTTTAGCAGTTGTTGGTTTAACCGAGTTGGCGTGGGTTAAAGCCATTTCGGTGTAGGTTTAACCAAGTTGGCGTTGGATAAATCTTGATGGCGTGGGTCAACCATTTTGGCGTAGGTTTTCTAGCAGTTGTCGTTGTGTTCAACCCACTTGGCGTAGGTTTTAGCAGTTGGTGTGGTGTTCAACCCCGTTAGCGTAGCGTTGTAGCAGTTGGCGTTGTATTGGGACTAATCCTACGCTAACTAGTTTGAACCAACGCCAACTAAGTGTACCCCACGTCAATTAGGTTGACCTACGCCATTTTGAAAGACTCTAGGCCAACCTACGAAAACTGGGATTATTCTACGCCAACTGGGTTGAACACCACGCCAACAATATTGAACTTTACCCACGGCCCCATTAAATCGACCCAAAACTTATTAGTTAGTAGCGCCAACAGTATCTTCGGCTCTGAGTATACTTGTTCTAATAAACCCAACTAAATCCTACTCTGAGCTGATGTGATGTTCAACCATGTTGGCATAGTGTTTTAGCAGTTGGCATGGTGTTCAACCTTGTAGGAGTAGTGTTCTAGCAGTTGGCGTGGTGTTCAACGCATGGCGTAGTGATTATTCTACGCCAACTAGGTTGAACCAACGCCAACTAAGTCGACCCCACGCAAACTAGGTTGAACCTACGCCATTTGGAAAGACTCTACGCCAACCGGATAAAGACTACGCCGTCTGGATCAAACTATTTGTTAACTTTTGAGCATTGTTAATTAAATTATGTAATTAACTCCATGCATGTTAAGTTCAAACACAAGCCAAGGAGAATTAAGCCGAAAGGGCAGGTCACACCGCGCGCATTGGTTGCCCTATTTTCAAGAAAAAGAAGAATAAACGAAAATAAAACAAGCAAAACACCAAACCAAAACAAAACAAACTAAACAAAAATTAAGGAGGGACCAGGTCGGTAAGGCCACTCCCCTAGCATCCACCGCTAAAATAATACTAAGCTCTACCGGAACCGAACGAACTAGAACAAATTTTGTGTCGTGAATGACTCAAGCCAACCACGGACATTTATGACATCATTTAATGGTCATATATGGTTCCAAACGTCATTATATGACCCTAAGATGTATCCCTTAGGATCTCACCACTTTTCGCCACCAAGCCCCGTAAACTCAAAAATTCCTAAAAAGCGTGGATAATAATAGCCTTCAATTTTGGAATTTTTTGACCTTTTTTTGTCCGGAAATAAAAATTGCCGAAATGTTTACCATGGTCCCTAATACCCTCCTGAAGTCCAATTAGGTGGGTGGAACCATCCAATTTGCCTTAAAACGGTCAATTTACCAATTCGCAACTTGCACCGATTTTTTGAACTCAAGCCTACCACAGACATTTATGACATCATTTAATGGTCATATATGGTTTCAAACGGCATTATATGACCCTAAGATGTATCCCCTAGGGTCTCAACACTTTTCGACACCGGCCCCAATAACCTCAAAAATTCCTCAAAAAGCGTGGATTATAGCCTTCAATTTTGAAATTTTTTGACCTTTTTTCTCCCAGAAATAAAAATTGCCGAGATGTTTACTGTGGTCCCTAATATCCTCCGGGAGTCTAATTGAGTGGGTGGAACCATCCAATTTGCCTTAAAATGGTCAATTTACCAACTTGCAACTCTCACCGATTTTGTGAACTCAAGCCTACCACGGACATTTAAGACATCATATAATGGTCATATATGGTTTCAAACGGCATTATATGACCCTAAGATGTATCCCCTAGGGACTTAACACTTTTCGCCACCGAGCCCTGTAACCTCAAAAATTCCTCAAAAAGCGTGGATAATAGCCTTCAATTTCATAATTTTTTTAACCTTTTTTTCGCCCGAAAATAAAAATTGCCGAGATGTTTACCATGGTCCCTTATACCCTCCGGGAGTCCAATTAGGTGTGTGGAACCATCCAATTTGCCTTAAAACGGTCAATTTACCAATTCGTAACTTGCACCGATTTTGAAAACTCAAGCCTACAACGGACATTTATGACATCATTTAATGGTCATATATGGTTCTAAACGGCATTATATGACCCTAAGATGTATCCCATAGGGTCTCAACACTTTTCACCACCGGCCCAATAACCTCAAAAATTCCTCAAAAAGCGTGGATAATAGCCTTAATTTTGGAATTTTTTAACCTTTTTCCGCCTGGAAATAAAAAATGACAAGATGTTTACCATGTTCCCTTATACCCTCCGGAAGTCCAATTAGGTGGGTGGAACCATCCAATTTGCCTTAAAACAGCCAATTTACCAATTCGCAACTTGAACCGATTTTGTAAACGCAAGCCTACCACGGACATTTATGACATCATTTAATGGTCATATATGGTTCCGAACGGTATTATATGAACCTAAGATGTATCCCCTAGGGTCTCAACACTTTTCGCCACCGGCTCCAATAACCTCAAAAATTTCTCAAAAACGTGGATAATATCCTTCAATTTTGAAATTTTTTGACCTTTTTCGCCCAAAAATAAAAATTGTCGAGATGTTTACTATGGTTTCTAATATCCTCCGGGAGTCCAATTGAGTGGGTGGAACCATCCTATTTGCCTTAAAACAATCAATTTACCAATTCGCAACTCTCACCGATTTTGTGCACTCAAGCCTACCACGTACATTTAAGACATCATATAATGGTCATATATAGTTCCAAACGGCATTATATGACCCTAAGATGTATCCCTTAGGGTCTTAACACTTTTCGCCATCGGGCCTCGTAACCTTAAAAATTTCTCAAAAAGCGTGGATAATAGCCTTCAATTTTAGAATTTTTTGACCTTTTTTCGCCCGGAAATAAAAATTGCCGAGATGTTAACTATGGTCCTTTATAGCCTCCGGGAGTCAAATTAGGTGGGTGGAACCATCCAATTTGCCTTAAAACGGACAATTTACAAATTCGTAACTTGCACCGATTTTGTAAACTCAAGCCTATCACGGACATTTATGACATCATTTAATGGTCATATATGGTTTCAAACAGCATTATATGACTCTAAGATTTGTCCCCTAGGGTCTCAACGCTTTTCGCCACCGGCTCCAATAACCTCAAAAATTTCTCAAAAAACGTGGATAATAGCCTTCAATTATGAAATTTTTTGACCTTTTTTCATTCGTAAATAAAAGTTGCCGAGATGTTTACTATGGTCCCTAATATCCTCCGAGAGTCCAATTGAGTTGGTGGAACCATCCTATTTGCCTGAAAACGATCAATTTACCAATTCGCAACTCTCACCGATTTTGTGCTCTCAAGCCTACCATGTACATTTTAGACATCATATAATGGTCATATATGGTTCCAAACGGCATTATATGACCCTCAGATGTATCCCTTAGTGTCTTAACACTTTTCGCCACCGGGCCCCGTAACCTTAAATATTTCTCAAAAACCTTGGATAATAGCCTTCAATTTTGGAATTTTTTGACCTTTTTTCGCCCCGAAATAAAAATTGCCAAGATGTTAACTATGGTCCCAATATCTTCCGAGAGTCCAATTGAGTGGATGGAACCA